ATATGAATATATATGATACATATGAATATATGATATATATCATATATGAATAGATATGATATATATGAATATATAATATATCATATATATCATATCTATTCATATATAATATACATATCCAGAGCAAAGGATTCAAATAATATTCAAATATATATTATTTGAATATATGTATTCATATATATTACATATAGTATTATTCATATATAATATATATTCATAGGTATTTATATATCATATATTCATAACATCTGTATTATATATATTCATATATATATGTATGAATGATATATGTATGAATGAGCTAAGATTTGAATCCAGCTTTATCTGACTACAAAGCTTAAGGCATTATTTTAAAATGGAAGCTGGAAACTTCAGACATGCGAGGGCAGAAATTATGCCTTGCATACTATTAATAAGCTTACTGCGAAATAAGTCAAAATACAAAACCCAAGAATAAAGGCTGTGAGCAGTAAACAAGAGGGCAAAAAGCATCATTAAGCCTAAGTGAGAAATATCCAGATCACTATGTGAAAATATTTTCTTGAAGAATAAAGTGTATATATGTGTATAATATATATAATATATATGAAATACATATATAACATATATATGAGATATATATATATATTTCTTCTGTGTCTGCCTTCTTTTGCCTAAAATGATGTTTTTGAGACACATGCCTGTGTGGCACATACCAGTAGTTTATCCTTTTTATTTTTTCTGTTGGGTAGTATTTTGTTGCATAAATACATCAAAATTTGTTTCTCCATTCTCACATATATGAATATTTGGGTTGTTTCCAATTTGGAGCCGTTATGACAAGAGTTACTATGAACATTCTTGTACAAGTCCTTGGGTAGACAAATACTTTCATTTCTCTTGTGTAAATACCAAGGGGGTGAAATTGCTAGTACGTAGGACAGATGTGTGTTTGGCTTTATAAGAACCGTTGAACAACTTTACAAAGTGACCATATCATTGTACTGTCCCACCACCAAATTATAAGAATTCCAGTTGCTCATCTTTACTACCATTTTATATTTGACAGAAATAGACTTTGTCTGATATATAACCACATCAACTGGCTTGTACTTAGTGTTGCATAGTATAGCTTTATTTCCACCCCTTCCTTTTTAACCAGCTAACGTATTTACATTAAAAATTTTTTTTTTCTCTTATAGACAACACATATTTGGGTCTTGCTTTTTTATTTATTTATTTATTTGATACAGAGTTTTGCTCTTATCACCCAGGCTGGAGTACAATGGTATAATCTCAGCTCACTGCAACCTCTGCCTCCCGAGTTAAAGGGATTCTTCTGCCTCGCCTCCCAAGTAGCTGGGACTACAGGTGTGCAGCACTACACCTGGCTAATTTTGTATTTTTAGTAGAGGTAGGGATTTACCATGTTGGTCACGCCAGTCTCAAACTCCTGGCCTTGGGTCTTGCTTTTTTATCCTGTCTGACCCACCTCTGCCTTTTAAATAAAGTGTTTAGTCTGTTTATATTTGATGTAACTACTTATATTTTGGAGTCTAAAACTTACACCTTCATACTGCCGTTTTACTTGTCTTAACTGTTTTTGTTCCTGTTTCTCCCTTCCTGTCTTTTTTTTACGAATTGAGTCCTTTTTTTTTTTTTTTTTTTAGACGGGGTTTCACTCATGTTACACAGGCTGGAGTGCAATGGCGTGATCTCGGCTCACCGCAACCTCCGCCTCCTGGGTTCAGGCAATTCTCCTGCCTCAGCCTCCTGAGTAGCTGGGATTACAGGCACGCACCACCATGCCCAGCTAATTTTTTGTAGTTTTGGTAGAGACGGGGTTTCACCATGTTGACCAGGATGGTCTCGGTCTCTTGACCTCGTGATCCACCCGCCTCGACCTCCCAAAGTGCTGGGATTACAGGCTTGAGCCACCGCACCCGGCCTACGAATTGAGTCCTTTTAGAATTCTATCATATCTTCTTTATTTATCTTAGATTTTATTGTGTTTTTTTCCTAATGGCTACTCTGGACATTTCAACACACATCTATAACCTATTCATGTTCTACTTTAAAATAATATAATATTTCTTCACAAATGATGTTAGAGTTTTAAAATTTTATTATATAATGCCATTTGTCCACATACACACTCTTTCTCTTCCTATTGTCATATGTTTTACTTTTACATATTTGTAAAGCCCATAATATATTACCAGTTTTGCTTTAGTCAATAATCTTTTGAAAAAATTTATTGTTTAACTTTTCTTGCTGACAGTTGTGTCATCTGTGAATCTGATTCTGTTGATTATTTTTTCTCTTAATTGCAGGGCACATTTTACTCTTTTTAGCATATTTCATGATTTTTTATTGTATGTTGGACATTGTGTGAGAAAGAACAATAGAGATAATATGGTAAATAATATTTTCCCCAGAAAGTCCATATTTCTTCCTATCTCAGTCCTCTAGGGTGGCAGACAAGTCAATCTAATCTGTAGCTGAGCTGGATCTGGGCTTTCTTGAAGATTTAGTTAGAATCATTTTTCCACTAGTGTCACAGGCGAGAAGTGATAAGGACAATCACTTTAGCAAGTCTTGCAATTTGTCCAGTGCTTTACGTAGAAAATTTATGCTGCCAACCTCTTGGGTCACTGAGGAATTCATTTTCTCTCCAGCATTATCCACAGCTTTCTGCAAGCTGGAAGATCTCTTTCTACTCTGATGTATGTCCTTAGTCTGTGATAAACTGTTGCTTTGCACTCAGTGAAGAGTTTGTGTACTTTGGGGAATTTTTTCTCAATTTTCCTATCCTAGCTTTAGCCTCTGGTAGGCTGCTGCCATGGTGTTTGGTTAAATTAAAATTAATTATAATTTTTGAAAATAAAGAATTCCATAGCACTGTAACAGTAGTTCTACTTTGACACATACTGCCTCTACCTGTACTATAGAATTTTACATGTAATTAATCAATACAAAATCGTTTGTATTCTACTTTAACCTGAGCAAGGGTAAATTTCTCAGGTAAACTATTACTAGGCCAGTATCAAGTCCAGATTTATTTTACTTAAATAAAAGTATTAAGAGAATATCTGTTTGATAACATTAACAAACATATTTATTATTGTTTGTTAATACCAACAACACTTACAGTTTGATATTATGTGCAAGTACCAAAAAAAAAAAAAAAGCATGCTGTTTCTTTTGTCTGCAAAACCATGATCATACTTGCATTACTTAGAATTTACATACAGATGTGTCAGAGACGCTAGAAGCAGACACCTGGTCACACTGTACATAGCCGTTAAACTTTTCAAGGGTAGATGATATCTTATTTGCTTTTGGGTTTCTGCCACTGAGCACAAGGTGAATACAGAAAAAAATAGCTTTGAGGAGCAATAACGATTCACAAGTAACCTTCAACAGATGAAACACAGGTATCTAAAGTGATATAATCAGGCAAGATTCCACTGGCATTTCTTACTTTATGAATATCTTCCTGGAAGCCATGAGCAGTATTTATTTCTGGGTCACCTAGCCTATTTTCCCTTCTCAAAAAACATGTCTTGGAAAAGGAAGCTTCCTGCCTTCTAGTTCTGTCTCAGTTATCGTAGGGTCCCTTGCTCTCCCTGAACCCAACATATCACGCAGAAAGCAAAAGCGTCTCCCATGATTCACCCGCATCTTGCAGTAGTATGCCAGATGAAGGGATGTTTTTTGGAGGCCCCTCTATTGTCTTTTAAATCAGCTGTAACCAGCTGGCAGATGTACCCAGGGGTGGGTTTAATGTGCTTCCTGACAGAGACTCCTTCCTCCTTTTCTCCTCCACTCCCTCTTTGTCCCACGTTTACTCACCTCACCTTGGAAATTATTTTCCTTGGGCTACAAGACAGAGCAGCACCTGGTCTCCTGGCACCCTTGTCTGGGTGTTTTATGGTACTTACAGTTCTCTACACACACAGTATTGCTCGGAAGTTCTCTGAACCTTTGGTCAGGCTGCTGTCTTTGCCTGGGACAATTATCATCCCATTGCTGTGGCTAAATGTACAAAACTGAGCCCAACATCAGGATCTGAGGAAGGCTTTCAGGAGGAAGTGATACCTGAAGTCAGCGTCCCTCATCCGATTCCCGTAACACCCAGGGGGTATGCACCTTGCTTTAGACTTGACACACTATACTGCTTACCTGTCTCCTCCCGCTAGACTAGACTCTGGGATGCTCCTGGATGGAGACCCTACCCGATCTGTTTCTGTTTCTACTATGTCTGAACATAGTGACTAGTTCATAGTAAGTGCCCAATAAATATTTACTCAACTAGTGGAAACCAAGATGGGCACATCTCTCTCCTGTTCTCTGTTCTCCTAATATGGCTGAATGTCTCTTCTGTAGCCTAACTACTTCTACTTGTCCAGGAGTCTGGGGCAGAAAAGCTGAGCCTGTTCACATCTGAATGAGTTTGATTCTTTCCAGTCTGTTTTGGGCGAGGCAAGGATATGGCTCAGATGCCTTGCTTGAACTCGGTGATTTTTAGCTTGCCAATTTGGTAGAATACCTCTAAGTGCAGTTAGCTTTTGTATAATGCCATGGGATAGTGAAATATTTATTTTATAATCCTCTGACTAATCAGATACTACCTAATACTTGATTCTAGAAGAGGCAAAGGTACACTGGAAGACTTTGTTTCATGAAAGACTTAGATTTCATGAAAAATCTATTGAAGAAAGTTTCAACTGAGGTATTTATATATATTGATTAATTTTGTTTTGTTTCAAATTGGGAGAGACAGCTGCTATCTAATTTTTGCCAGTCTGTGATGTTGCACAGGAATGATACTTGAGAACCTCTCCTCAGTTATGCAAAATTGCAGTTAAATACACCACCTATTAGCAATAAGTTATTTTAGTTTATAAAAATATGAGGAATTTTTATTTTGATTAATGATGTTTGCTTCCTGAAACAGGCTCTTAACTCGACCTTGCTTATTGAAGAGAGTAACTATTTGCCATCTTTTTTCTTCTCAGGCTGTGAGGTTGAGATTCTGGGCATCAGACCTACCTACTGCCTGGAGTATAAAAATGTTCCAACGGATATCAATTTTGCCAATGCCATCAGCGACGCTCTTGACTCCCTCAAGTAAGTGTCCCAAACTCTCACCCCCACCATTGTTCTTTGTTTCCAGGCCTGATTATGGGTTCCAAAGAGATTAAGAAGGCTTGGTGGAGGTGAAATGATGGTTCAGAGAGTTGGTGAGCGTCTTGCATGGTGATCAACTGCTACTATGGAGTAATTGTGAGCAAGTGATTTCAGGCAGGAGCAATCTCTGGAAATGTTCAGTTGAGAGAAGGAAAATCCCTAAGGGTTTGAACCACCTTTTTTATGCTGTTAAATAACGGAGAAACAATATAAACGTCAGCATTTCCCTAAGCATGATTCAGTGAACAACTGTGTCTCTGAAGGTACTAATAAGTATTTGGCAAAAAGGAAGGATATGTGATCAAATCAGTTTCAGAAAATTGCCTGCCCTACCCGCTTCTTGGAAATGTACAAAGAGCATGGGTATGTTAGAACACGGAATCTGTTTTTGCCCTCCCACATGGAACTGTGACACACAGTTTGAAAATGCAGGAATTAGTAATCCTGTCTTGTATAGAACACAAGAGTCTGTCAAGGGAAACTGATCACAACAGTTTAGGACAAAGCCTCAAGTCAGTCTCAGAGCTCTCTGAAAGTGGAAGTCAAGATGGGAGCTCAAGTGAGAGTTGGCATTAAGTAGAGATCAGCAACCAACAGACTATGGATGTTGGGGGCCGTTGAGTTTCCAGAAGCGGACTTGAGGTCACTGTAGCCACCGAATAGGTTTCCTGGGTGCATCAGGCAGAAGACCCGCCATAATGAGAGCATACAGACCAGGACAGGACCGTCATCCCCCCAGGGAAAGGAGCCTGGTTTCAAGCTGGGCACGTCTGAGAGCCAACATACCCAAGGCACAGTGTACACAGCACCAGCACGAGCCACATGAATGGCCCTGTCACTAAGGCTGCCTCAGATCCAGAGCTGATCAGTCATGGCTTTTCTTCCTGTCATGCCCCTCCCACACCATGGCGAGCAGCAGCTGCCCCCACAGAGCTGTGAAAGCAGAAAACAGCACCCTGCCTTTACTGCTTCTTAGAGTGATTTACTTCCATGAAACCTATCAAGAGAGTCTGGGGAGGTGGGGGCGCATAAAGGTTCATGCTTTCACTTACAGGTCGGAGAGAAAATAGGTGTAAAATACATGGAAATGGAGAAGTAGTTGCCCATAAATGCTGGCAACCACACACGGGAGGAGCTGGGATATTGCGTTGCAGTCCGGTTTTGTGCGACTGAAGCAGAATAGCGCAGCACGTGCGGCAGATGAGCGGGGCTGGAACCTGGGCATTGCTCCATGTCTAACCAATGCTGTTTCAAATATATCCAGAATGCTGGCCATCCCCACAGCCCATAGCTGTGCCAAATATGAAAATTTGGATTAGAGTTGCCATACAAATACCTCCAAATAACCCAGCAGTCTGTTTGGCGATGTCATCTTTTTGCATTTATCTTGACAGCCGATGGACTGTCACTCTGTGCTGTCCAGTGATTCGTAGGCGGGTGAGCACAGAGCGCACAGCCATGAGAATCGCAGGTTGGCACTGGCCTGCTAGCTGGCCAGTAGAAGTAGACTTCCCTGTCCGGAGACACCAGCATGGGGAGGGGAATAAATGCTGGGCTCTGTTTCCTCTAGAGAAGCTATGGAAATGCAGCTTTACCTTGGGGAACACTTAGGAATGGGGAAGGTTTTGGGGTGGTGGTAGTGGTGGGGTGGGGGTGTTGGTGGGGTCTGAGTGTATATCTACCGTAGGTGTTGGGTTCCACTAGAAAAAAAGGCCTGCAGAGAACTGGAAGCCCAGGAAAGTGTCCCCCGCTACGTCTCTACCTAATACTGTACCACCCAGTTCCACATATTCATCCGTGGTCTATGTAGATGGCCTTGAGCGCCACGGGATGGCATTCACATGGTCTGCAATGAGAGTGATGCCCCTGAAGCACTGGAGGCCTGGGTCGGATGGAAGCCAGGCCAGTGCAATTGTCTCATGGGGTCTTCATATTGCCAAAGTTAATAGGGCCACCAGAAACAGCCCCTTTGGGCAGTCGGTGAAAACACAGAGACGCACTATCTCCAAAGCTGGGCAACTCTTGAGATGAGGGAAAGAAAAGAAGAGTGATTGGCTGGACAATGCTGCCTGTGAAGACGGTGAGATGGCTCAGCCCCCACAATGACACGGGAAGCCCCTCCTTCAGCCGACCTGTGCGTTATTATTAGAACATGTCTCATTACCTGCTTACAAAGAAGAATAAAGGCCTGAAAGTTACAGGTCAACATTTTTCTTTGAAAGAAATCTAACCTTTGTCCCCTTCAGGAATGAGACGAGTGAGAAAGATGTCTAGGACAGTCTAGACCAGTCACGAGCACTTTGCCTGTAGTAGCTTGTCTATGCAATCATGTGGCTCAAAGGAATCATTACGTCTCTCGGTATGTGTGTCTAGCAAAGATGTGGGATTATTGATCCCAAAAAGAAGAACGTGTCTAGAATGCCACAGCTCACCTCTTGACTTCTGTTCAGCTCTGCTACAAATTCCTAACTATAATTTGAGGAGCACTTAGGGTTTTCATACATGAGTGTCCAAACACACACACACACATTTCCCCCAGTCAGTACACAAGACTCATAGAGTGTCTTTCTTTGTCCACTTGGCTATTAGTTTGAGAGGCAGGAGAATGGAACCCAGGATAGGTGGGCTTTGACAGAAAGCAGGAGAGGCTGCCAAGATCTTGAACATCGAGGTCTGTCCTGGGGCATTTCAACAGAGGATCCAGGTCAGCCTGTGGTAGGAAGGACAATCCCTCGCCCAAATTTGATCCAGGGATAGCTTTCCGGTGCTCATTACACATTGCTGACCCCAGACACATCCTTGTGAAATGCTGCCTTTAACTTGGACAACTTCTAGAATAGGGAAAAGGAGGAGGGACGGCGATTAGAGTTTTAAGAGCCATCGGCTAGTATTGTGTCAATGGGCTTTATTTCCAATAACCCACTTGGTTCTCACGTCCACGGTTTTGTGTAGGCATTGCCCTTCCGCCTTCCGAAAGAAGCCGCCGGCTCTCTGAGGGTTAAACACTTCTCCTTGCTCCTCACAAGCCAGTCAGTGGTGGAGCCAGTGCTCAGCTCTTTCCACAGAGGCTTAGGGCCCTGTCTCTGGAGACCTTCCTTGAGGACACAGTGACTGAGAACCACTCCAGGCTCAACCCCTCAGTCCTCCACCCTGGTCTCTGCTAGCTCACACCTCTCAGACACGCTGAAATTGAGACAGGAAGAGAAAGTCCAGACGTGCTTCTTTGCAGGTCTCCTCTTCAGGGCCATCTGAAGGCCTGGAGTTCTGCAGCCTGCTCAGGCGTTGTGTCTGCAGCCTGTGGCCCACTGGAGCCGTGCGCCTCCCACCACACATGGGCATTCTGCAGGCAGTGCCCCCACACACGGCCCATCCCCTGGCTGAAAAGGAAGCAGGGTTTGTGATCTGCATCACTTACTTCCATCCGCCTGGAAGTCCTATTTGCAGGATATTCATGGTTCAGTGGGCAGGAAAAGGTCCATGGTGCTAAACCTGAAATAAGCCTTGAGTGGCTCATGGGTGGGTGAGGAGGGTAGGGGACAGTCACAGTGGGCCGGGCAGCTGCTTCCAGGCTTGTAGAGCAGACACACTGTGCAGCCTCACCAACGCATCAGTCAGGAGACAGCTGGGCTGCAGGACAGTGGGCGCAGCCATGGGGCATGTATAGACAGAGTCCTTTGTCAAGCTCCAGGTGACTAAAGACAGCCCCAAAGGACTGCCTTCAGGATCCCCAGAGCCTCAGTAGTGCCTGGGGGAATGAAGGAATGGATGACACAACTCTTTCCACGGGCCACCAAGAAGCCAGCTCCCCTGTCCTGGCCTGGTCCCTCCTCCCTGTGGAGTACAGGGAAGTAGGAGGAGGAATCAGGCTGGGTCTGGGAAACTGGCTCCTCCTCCCTGCTCGGCCACATACTCAGGAAAAGTGATCTAGGGGCATCTGGAAGGAAAAGAGAAACGGGAGGCATTTCTTTCCCCTCTCCTCCCTTTTACTATGTGCCGAGTGCTTTATAAACATCAGCTTGTTTGATATACCATGCTACCCTTTGAGTAGTGTACCAGTCTGTTCTCATGCTGCTAATAAAGACATACCCAAGTTACAGAGTAAAGAGGGTTAATTGGCTCATAGTTCTGCAGGGCTGAGGAAGCCTCAGGAAACTTACAATCATGGCAGAAGGGAAAGCAGACACGTCTTTCTTCACATGGCAGCAGCAAGAAGTGCCAAGCGAAACGGGGGAAAGCCCTTTATAAACCATCAGATCGCATGAGAACTCACGTTCATGAGAACAGCAGCATGGGGGCAACCACCCCTACGATCCAATCACCTCCCACAGGGCCCCTCCCACAACTCATGGGGCCTATGGGAGCTGTAATTCAAGATGAGATTTGGGTGGGGACACAGCCAAACCATATCAAGTAGGTTTTTTAGTTGGGGAAATGGAGGCTTGGAGATAATCTTGCCACTCATCCGAGGCCTCCAGGTGAGTAAGAAGAGAAGCCAGTGTTTGATTCCAGACTTGTCCAGTTCCAGGGACCCTGTCAAAAGATAATATTCAAAGTTAAGTCTCTGTCATGTGCTCACTCCATCTGGGTATGAGGACTATGCCAAAGTTCAATGTAGTTTCTTGCTGAGGGGCACCAGGAGCATGACAAAGCCGGTAATAAGGAGAAAACGAGACACACACACCAGGAAACAGAAGGATGCACAATGATGAGGGATAATTATTGTTTGATGAAGATATGCGTAATAACGTAGAGGGTAATCAAACCATAATTTTAGGGCTGTGTTCTCCATCAGACAGAAATAATTTTCATCTTAGTCTCCTACGAGTTAGCAGCGAGGTTTCTAGAGCTTGAACGCCAATCAGTAGTTCAGTCTGGTGACTCAAGCAAGCTTATTAGACAGTGCTCAGCACGGCACTGAGAAGGCAGGCCATCAGACTGTAGGCTTTGTTTCTAAGTTTTGGATCACGTTTCTTAACAGTCACCCACTTCAGTAAGAAAAATGGAAAGAACATGAAGAACTTTTTACATGGCAAAGTAATCTGAACAGAATCAGAACGTGATGGGGGACTCAGGTGTCCCTGAAGCCCCAGGGCTAGAACCCCTTGAGGCTCTCAGGGAACTGTGCTGGTGGCCACAAGTCCTTCTGGAATGGTTCCTGGACCTTAGAGCTGTCAACAGCCAGTAGCAGATGGGCAGGCATGACTGCCCGTCACTCCTCACCCAACCAATTCATTGCAAATGAGCTGACCTGGGATGGAGACCAGATCCATGTGGAAAACAGCTGGCAAGCAAGCCTCTGTCAGCTAATCTCCAGACAGGCAAGAGGTCTCAGCCCCTGCAGACGCAGGTTCCTGATGAGTCAATGAAATGTCAACGTAGAATCCTTTCACAAGAGACATACGCGTGATCCCTGAATCACAAGCATCCCAAATCCAGGATTCCCAGCATCTGGGGTTGACAGCTTCTTGACCAAAAGCCATCAGATAAATTGTCATACATAATGGCTGATGTGGAGGTTTGTGAATATGGCGATAGCCCTAAGGAAACCAGGACAGTGAGTGCCACACTAAGCTGAGATATCTAACACGAAGAGACCTAGAAGTAGTTCATCCATTACACTTTGATGCAATGGTAAACTTTACTCATGAAAACTCCTCATTCTAGTAAGTCACCACTGAGTTTAATCGAATTTTTCCCTACATATGAGCACACTCTGGAAGTGTGAACACCTAAACAGATGCCATGCTGTGTAAACAGGCACATCTGAAATGCTAAAGGTGCACGCACCTACGGCAATGAAACGCTGAGGCTTATCCAAAGGACAGATTGTATGGGAGTTTCACTATGTTCAAAGATCACGATGGCAGAAGTGCCATCAGCCCATGAATCTAGCAAATTTAGGCCTTAAAAAGAGTTCTGGCACATTTTGAAATGCTACTATTTCACCAGCCACCTACACATTTGTAGGACCCTGAAGTGACTTTGTTCTCTGCTGCCCATAGATGCAGAGGGAGTTTGGATTAGTCGTGCACACATTAGTGAGCGTGCATAATGAGAATGACATTTGCGAGAAACACCTAAATCATAACCTAGTCCAATCCACAATGTGGAGGAGGGCGGTAAGGGGGCTTTTTAACCAGGGACCAGTTTGTTTTATTCTAAAAAGAGAAAAGAACATTTGACGAGCAATTTCGCTTAACTTGTAACCCATGTATCCTCAAAGCTGTGAATGAAGTTCACCTCAGGGCACCCAGGCGGGCAGGTAAAGAATGTGCCTCTTGCACATTTGACTGTGATGAAGGACGATGCCAGGTGAGCATTCTCAGGGACTTGCTCCCAGCTGAGTGCACGTGGATGTTCAAAGTTCGCCAGAGTTAACAGTATCCTGCCTCTGGAGATGTGGTTCTAGCTGTGTCTCAGAGGTCTGTGAGACCTTGAGCGACGTCTTGAAACTTCTTAGGCCTATCTCTTCATCTATAAAACCTGCAAATGCTTTTCCATGAGGATCCCTTTCACTGCCGTGACAGACGTGGGGGGCCTATTCAACCCGCAGACAGAGCGCTGAGCGCACAGAAGGGAAAGAGACTTGATTTCACCGTCACACTCTCGCCTGTCCCACACCTAGCCTTCTAGGGGTTGGTAGAATTCATAAGAGAATAAGATCCATTTCCAAAAGATCTTTAAGACTAAGCAGAATGTTTCTTGGTTGGCGAGGGTGGGCGGCTGAGTTCCTCCGGAGCATGCAGTGGTTGTGCTCTGGGGCTGGGAGTGAGCTGCACCAGGGTTTGAATCCAGATCCATCTCTTACTAGCTGTGTGATGTGGGCAACTGTCTTGCACTCTCTGTTCAAGACATTCCTACCTTTCATGGCTGTTTTGAAGATTAAGTAAGATAATGTGTGTAAAAGCTCTCAATGTAGTGCCTGACCCATAGGAGCTGTCACTTACTGAGCACTTTCTATGATTATGTATTCAAAGGAGCGTTAACAGGGCTCCTGTCGTGCGCCAGACACCAGGCTGGAGCTCAGATACGATGAACAGTACATCCTGGCTCCTACAGTGAACGAATCTCACAATTTAGACAGGGAACAGGACACGTAAGTGGGTAGTTTCTGCACAGTATGAAAAGTCATAGCCCAGAAGTGAACGCAGGGTGCTATGGGAACACACAGAGGGCTGCCCCATCTATCCGCAGGGCACCAGAGCAAGCTTCCTGGAGGAGGCAGTACCTCTCCTGTGACCTGAAGCATGAGCGGGAGTGGTTTAACCATGGTCGGGCAGACTGAGCTCTCTGAGCTACCATGGGGCTGTTTTCCCTCCTTGTGGATGACAAAGTCCAAGGCTCTGCGAGCCCCAGGGTACGGTCTTTCATTCCTCATGTTTTCAGTGGTGGAGAGGCCGTATTGGGAAGCAGCGCCACTGCATCTGTGTGCGCACATGCTTGTGTTTAAAATCCGCCAAGAGTATTAGTTATTAACCCATGTAGAGTCCAAACAGGGAAGTGAGTTTTCATTGCTTTGCCATGTTGTGTCTCTTCATCATGATCAGCACCACGGCCATCGTCATCATCGCTCTGATCAATTGCAGGTGCTTTGTGCGGAGGTTGTGGGAAAGCCAGCACTGGGGAGGGAGCCACAGTGGAAACACTGCGGGACGGGAGGAGAGAACATTCCAGGTTCTTCCTCCCCTCTCCCAGACTCTGCAAGCTCCCTACCCCAGTTTATATCACTAGCTCCTAGTCCTTCTTAACTACAGAATGAGGGTGAAACAGCTTGGATTTTTACTATCAATACTCTAGCCAAGAAGGGGAGTTTTGTCAGAATGGGGTCTTCCTGGGCCCCTAGAAATGTGGTCACTGCTAGAATTCACGTGCTATCAACATTGGAGCTGACCCTTCCCAGGCCCCATAGAACAAGTGTCCAAGGGAGGCCCACTGACGCCAGCCCCTGAACGCTCATCTGTTTGCCTCCTGCAGGGGTGCTGTGGAAATGCTTTTCTCGTCCTGGCCAGCCAATTAGACTCACGATGTAGTGCTTAATTTCGAGACTTCCTTAAAGTCCAGCAATGACTGTACAGCAGTTATTTAAATGACAGCTTTGAGTGTTTCTGACCTGGTGACAGCAGGCGGCCAGGATGCAGCGATAACTGTCCTCGGTCTCTTATCACATCTTCCCCCTCTCCAAGGCATGCTGGGAAATCTTTCATCACCAAGGTGCTCAGGACCAGCAATTCTGGGCTCAGTGTGTGTCTCTCCCTTGGAGATCGGACCTCCTTCGTTTTCACGTATTGGCTTCTCCTGGCCCAGGGACAAGGTTTTGGGGGTGTGAACAGCTTCAGAGAATGCTATAGGGGTGATAAGGGAGCAAGCTGCTGGGAGCCTCCCTTACCCATGCCTCTCTCCTCTGTCCCTCCAGAAGTGGCCGCGCCGACCTGGCAGCCATATACCATGAGCGCATTGACGTGGAAGGCCACCACTACGGGCCTGCATCCCCGCAGAGGAAAGATGCCCTCAAGGCTGTAGACACTGTCCTGAAGTACATGACCCAGTGGATCCAGGTGACCTGAAGCAGACGCCTGGCCTGGCCTTCTCTCTGCCACCCTGTGTTTCTCTCCTCCACAGTCACTCCCGCCAACATCTTCCCTCTTACTGCTAAAAGCTGACTGCGCCAGCACAGGCTGGGACGGGTCCCTTTGCTTCACACAATGCCTCCTGCAGTACCAAGAGATCCCTTTTTCCAGAGCCAGGACAGTGAGAGAGAATGACCTAGGTGTGCCTTCTGGCCTGGCTCACCTAGAGCTACCAGCTCTGTGAAACCCTAATCAGTTTGGTAGAAGCTTGGCAGGTGCACAGGTGCCAGTCCTGATTCTACCGCATGCTTGCTGAATGACGGAACACAGGGCTTTGGTTTGATTTTGCTTTTGTTTTCTCTTCCTGTGCCTTACTCTGTACATCTATAACATGGGCATGTGATAGTTCTCAAACAAGCACACGAGTTGTTGAAAGAGCCGAAAAATCTGCAGCGCTGTGTAAGCTGTCAGCACGCACTGAGCCCAGCCGAGCCTCGCAGTCCCCTCTGCAAAGGCCTTCTGTTGTTTTGCGCTGGGTCTCGCCAGGGCAAAATAGTAATGATTAAACACAGAACTGAGAAGACAGCCTTTCTCCTATCATTCGTAGTTGACGAGGTTTTCCGAGGGCGAGAGCCTCCCGGCTGGTGCTGTAATGACTACGTTTCCCACCCACAGGAGCGGGGCCTGCAGGACGAGCTGAACGTCATCATTTTCTCGGATCACGGAATGACCGACATTTTCTGGATGGACAAAGTGATTGAGCTGAATAAATACATCAGCCTGAACGCGCTGCAGCAAGTGAAGGACCGCGGGCCTGTTGTGAGCCTTTGGCCGGCCCCGGGGAAGCACTCTGAGGCAAGACAGCCCTGCGGGGCGAGGGGGCCAAGCGGGCCCTCGTGTGTGGCCACTTTGCAGTGTATCCTCTCCTCCTGGTTTTATTTATTTATGTATTTATTTAGAGATGGAGTCTTGCTCTGTTGCCCAGGCTGGGGGGCAGTGGTGTGACCTTGGCTCATTGCAACCTCTGCATCCGGGTTCAAGAGATTCTCCTGCCTCAGCCTCATGAGTAGCTGGGACTACAGGCACGTGCCACCATGCCCAGCTAATTTTTTGTATGTTTAGTAGACATGGGGTTTCACCATGCTAGCCAGGATGGTTTGGATCGCCTGACCTCGTGATCCGCCCACCTCGGCTTCCCAGAGGGCTGGGATTACAGGCGTGAGCCGCTGCATCTGGCTTCCTTCTAGTTTTAATACTGACATACAAAGCAGTGTCAGGAGCTCGGATCTGGAGGCAGGTGACCTAGTTTGCCTCTCACTCCCTGAGTGATCTTATCAGGTCTCTGTTCTTCCTTCTCTGAAATGGGCATATGGTACCTACTGCACTGAACGTCCTGAGAATTAAATGAGATTAAGGAAGCCGCATGCAAGCCCTCACTAGGGCTGTTTAATTAGTGGCCCAAACGCAGCACTTCCCAGGCACCTCTGGGGAGCATCAGTGGCATCCCTAGCTGCCCTTTTTCAGGAAGGTGGCTGCCGCCAGGCTGATCTGCTTCTGTCAGGGAACAGAAGGGTAATGAGTGGAGGGAGCCGAGGCTGTGTGCAGTGCCCAGCTCCTCTCAGGAGCCAGCATTCCCAGCTCTGTGCTCAGTTGGAAGCCAGACAAGCTCCCCACCCTGGCCCCTCTGCCTCTCTGTACATGAGCACGGTGGTGTCACCACAGCTGCCTCCTGACTGCTGTGAAGCGTCTGGAAGCACACTGAGCCCACTGCAAAGACAGAGTGTGGGTCGGTGACCACGATGATCCCCCAGCAGAGGGTGTGGTTGCATTCCCGCACTGCCAAGGTGCAGGACAAAGCTTTGCTCCCCACAGTCACTGCCCTGCACCCGGAATGACTAGACCTCTGCTTATCCTGCTCTCAAAATAATTATTCTGCCTGGCAGTAGCTGGTGACCTACCCTGAGAAGCGAAGGGGAGCAAGCGGCACCTTTGGCTGCTTGTCCCCTGAGTTCCTAGTCACTTCCCAATATGGGCTTTGTGGCTCGTCCCACTCCCAGGTGAAACTGATCGGGGCAGGAAGCAACTGTCTTCCTGGGGGGAGGCAAGCCTGCTGCCCCTGGAGGCTGCCAACCACAGGGTAGGTCCTGGCCTGCTTCCCTCTTCCTTCTCCTCACTGCAGCAATGCAGTCAGCTCTGGGCCATCATTAGTAAGGATGAAGCACCGGTGGAGGCCGGGGCTCACCTCTTTGGCCCAGAGAGGGACCCCGGCAAGCTGCCTACTCCCCTGTAAGATCTGTCTATTTGGAGTTCAGGAACGCTGATGCCCACGATGCCACAGTTCCCAGCCTTGCCCATCCCTGGGGGGGCGGTCCTTTGTTGTCGGGCTCCATGCTCAGGAGCTGCAAGTGCAGGGCCTGTTTATGCAGTGATCCCAAGAGCTCCCAAGTGATCCCAAGAGCTCCCAAAATATGAAATCAGGGACAAATTTTACACATTGGCAGGTTCTTGAAAATAAGTTCTTTTTTTTTTTTTTTTTTTTTTTTTGCAAGGAAGATCATCCTGGTCTCCAATTTGGCGCTCAGGAACGTGCTGTCTCCAGAACTTGGGCATCCACAGCTTTTGAGCTAGGGAGAACTCCTTCCAAGGTAGCGTTCAAGTCAGGCATTGCAAGCAGCCCAAGCAGTTGCTGGAGGATTCCAAAGCAGGGGCCATGTTTGGGCGACAGTTTGTCATGTGACGGACACAACCGTTTGTGAGAGCTGCTGCGTCTCGCCAGATTTTTCAGTTATACAAAATCTTTCTGCAAATGCATCCTACTTGCCTTAAGAACTCCGGATGTCCTTAAGTAGAAAATTGTGACTCACGGAGCCATTGGAAACCATCCACTCAGTTATTTTACACAGTTGAGTTGATCAACTCAATCTTATATTCAGGTATGCCCAGGGATATATGCCTGATTTGGCTAATGGCCAAGTCAACATCAACCAGTCGATTTTAAATTTTAGCCATAGATATTTAAGTAGCTGTACATTAGAAATATGTACAAGGCCAGGCGCAATGGCTGACGCCTGTAATCCCAGTACTTTGGGAGGCCAAAACTGGCAGATCACCTGAGGTCTGGGGTTCAAGACCATCCTGGCCAACATGGCAAAAACCCATTTCCACTAAAAATACCAAAATTAGCTGGGTGTGGTGGTGGGTGCCTGTAGTTGAGCTGAGGCAACGAGAAGCGCTTCGACCCGGGAGGCGGAGGTTGCGGTGGGCAAAGATTGTGCCACTGTACTCCAGCCTGGTGACAGAGTGAGACTCTGTCTCAAAAAAAAAAAGAGTGAAAAACTGATCATTCTTGATTTTCTTTGCAGATCTATGACAACCTGAGCATGGTGGAACACATGACTGTCTACGAGAAGGAAACCATCCCAAGCAGGTTTTATTACAAGAAAGGGAAGTTTGTCTCTCCTTTGACTTTAGTGGCCGATGAAGGCTGGTTCATAACTGAGGTAATTATGAAATATATGACCATTTATTCACTATGCAAATTCTATAAAACAGTGCAGAGGTAAATAACAGTTACTCAGATTTTACATGTAAAAGACTTTTTCACGTAGGCATCATTTGTTGCATTCTTTCTTTCTTTAGAGAATCAAAACTCGTGATGGGGTAATTTTGTAGACACAGCTGCAGACGTGAACCCAGAGTCATGGTTTAGACTTCATGGCTCCAGACTTGATGTGTTTTAACAAACGGGCCTTAACTCGATTATAGGGCTTACAATGTAACCTGTTCGCTTTAAAGTGGAACAATTACTGTGAACCAAAGCAATCGCTCACGGGTAGTCAAAAGCAAGGAGAGGCTCAGCTTCGCTTTCACCTTCAAGAGAAATATTTGGCAGACGGGACTGTGAGTCCCGAGTTGGCCAATTTGATCTTTCAGAGATTATCATGCATTTTTGGTCCAAACCTTAATTGTCTCATGCCTGAATGACCTCAACAGCCTCCCCCTGGTTAGCCTGGACTCCAAGCTCAGCCAGCTATGATGCCAGCCCACGGTGGGAAGGCCCTGTCCTTTTGGGGAGTCTGTGGTCCTGTCATGTTTAAGTTAATTCCTGAAGACGGTACAGGTTATTTTACGAATTTGAAGGGGGTGGCAATTATTAGCTTGGTTCAGAAGTAATCGCGGCATGGGAAAAAAATCATCATCACTTTGGCATCGACCTGATAGAATGGACTCCAGTGTACGTGAGAGCAGCTGGTTGAGGCCGACCACGCGTAAGACCCAGGACTCGTCAGGAGCCCGCTGAGGGTGGAGGCAGGTGACGCTTGGCAGGAATGCTGACTGGGCAAGTGTGTGGGAGTCCCGGACATGGGCATGGGAAAGTGCGGGGTGTGTGGCAGGAACCTCAGTTATGCAGGAGGCCTGCGTGGCTCCTGGGTGCGCTCAGAGAGAAGCCCCTGGCGCTGAGGAATGGAGAAAAGAGGAGATATGGTTAGGAGTGTGAGCTACGCAGAGCCGCGGCCAGCGGGGCCTCCTCAGCCAGCCCTGGCTTCTCTGCCACGTGGTTTACAACGTCTCCATGAGGGCCCCTCTGCTCCCTAACGCCCCTCTCTGCTACAATCCGAAATGCTTCTTGTCACTTCATCACACCGTGTGAAGTTCACCTGGAGTGAGGCTGGGTTAGCATCACCGAATCAGGACTTAGAGTGGTTTTCCCAGGACCTCACATGGAGCACACATGTACTCTAGCAAGTCACCTGTCTCACTATTCCATAATGCCAACTCTCCAGGTCGCCCCAAAGGGCTCACTTTTTGAACCTTTATTTCAGTTTATAAAATTCCGGCAGAAGCACTTTGAATTTTCAAAAGCAAATACGCCGCGAAGGTTAACACGCAGCCGCCAGTCATTTCTCAGCCGGCTATTCGCACCGTCGTTACTTTCTCGGCTTTAGCTGAATTTAGCTGAAGTCGCCCTTGCTGAGAGGCTGGGCGGAAGGGAGGGAGAGCAGAAGAGGGCAGACGCGATTGGGGCATCTTGCTGGAAAACAGGCTTAGGTAGGGGAGTGCAGGGCCAGAGGTCACTATGGAGATGCTGGATGATGAATGAGGTGCTATCTCAATTCTGGCGGGAAAGGTCTTGGCTCCCCACGGTAGAGTGTCACAGGTGCTGGGGAAGCAGCTTCAGCCCTGAGTCCTCTCAGCAAAAGTAAACATGGTATCTCAGCAGCCACACATCCGGCATGAGATGCGGGGCCTTCCAGTGAGTGATGAAACACAGCGCTGGGAGACCTTGAGGCATCCGTTAAGATGCTATGGTGATAAAGCACAGACCATTTGATAAATGTGGCTTAAACTAGAAGGATTTGCTATCCCACATAACTAGAAGTCTGGAGCAGGCAATTGCAGGATTGCCGAATCCAGTAAATCAATTACATCATGCCCCAAGCCAGCTTTTCTGGAATGCTCTTGCCTTTCCTCAAGGTCGAAAGGTGGCTGCTGCAGCTCCAAGCATCACATCATATCCTGTTAGGACACCCCGAAGCAGGAAAGAAATGGTGTGGGTTCTCTTTGCACATCTCCCGCTTTTATCAGGAAGCAAAATATACACACTGGATCCAGGGTCAGACTCTGAGGTTTTGTAGGACTCTGGGATTACAGAATTAAGGTGAGGGGGATCCTCTTAAAGAAGAAAACATACACAATTTTGAATATAAAATTAGGTACAGGGACTTGGAAGAAGTTCACACACTTGAGAAGCCTTGATGCATAAACTTTAACTGCACTGTAAGTCTGCTTCCGCCCGGAACCCGCTAGCAGCTCCCCCTGGCTCAGCTTTGGTTCTGTGATCTGAAATTGTGCTGAAGCGCAGACCAGGGGGCCACAATCACAGGTCAGAAGTGAAACCGAGGCCAGGAGTCAGGCAGACAGGGGCCTCGAAACAGAGAACAGAGAGAAGGGGTAAGGGGACAGCAAGGACAAACCACCTCTGCACCCATTCTGCCTGGTGCTGGTCCTCTCAGGACACCCAGTGACGAGTCTGAGGACGCGTCCTCCTGCCCCTGGCTCTGCTTCCATCTCCCCGCCATCCTCCCGCCCTGCACTCTGCTGTGGCTCCAAGTACCTGCTCCCCTGTAGGAAACCGACACATTAATACTAACCACGTTATGTTCTATTATATATTACTTTTGTATGCATTGACAAATCACACACACACACACACACACACACACACACACACACACAGTTTGTTGAGTAAATCAGAAGTGACACCATCAGTTAGCAAGGGCTGACCAGTGCTGCACTGTATATACTGCACTGTACAGAGAAGCCACAGAACAGGAAGGAAGAATGCTGAGCTATTGACAATCCCTTGAGCAGCATTTTAAAATAGACAATCATTTCCAAAGAAAGATTTGAGGTAATTTCAAAGATAAGTGAAGCAGAAATCTTGAAAAACAAAAAAGGACATCATAAATAAGATAAATAGGGTGTGAAAAAATACGATTAGCTCTGAAAGACGAGGACTGCTCACTAATAGACTATCCCCGGTGGCTCATGCACCTTTAATTACCATGGTAAGTGCTGCAAAACTCATCTTCATCTGTCACGCCCGGATCCTTAGGAACTCTAGAACGACCCCTCCCCCAAAGCTTCAATGATGTGCATCTAAAGTTATTTTGCACCTTGCAGATAATAAATACATCAAGAAAAATTTCTGTTTACATTTTAGTCAATGACAACAAGAACAACTGCTACAATGATAATAGTGATCTTGAATTAAGTGTATTCTAGTTCCTGTTCCTACTTCTCCTGATGACTCTGCATCGTGGATTTTGTTAGTTCTTTTTTGTTTGTTTGTTTTGTTTTTGTTATTTTTTTTGAGATGGAGTCTCACTCTGTCACCCAGGCTGGAGTACAATGGTGTGATCTTGGCTTACTGCAACCTCGCCTCCCGGGTTCAAGAGATCCTCCTTCTTCAGCCTCCTGAGTAGCTGGGACTACAGGTGTCCACCACCATGCCCAGCTAATTTTTATGTTTCTAGTAGAGACAGAGTTTCATCATGTTGGCCAGGGTGGTCTCGAACTCCTGACCTCAAATAATCCGCCCGCCTCCGTCTCTCAAAGTGCTGGGATTACAGGCATGAGCCACCGTGCCTGGCTGATATTGTTAGTTCTGAAAATAACATACTGCTAAATAAAGTGGAACGCACATGTGGTTCCGAGCTTCCCAGAAGCCTACCCAAAGAGAACAATCACTTCCATTAATATAATTTATGACATCTATATCCACGAAGACAAATGTTTCTCTGGAAAATCATAATCGTCCCTGAGTCCTGAGAGATACTGAGATATCTTTTAATGACTCTTTGTAGTTTCCTAGACTAAATATCTTAATCATTTTACTTCTGTCATGGAATTTATGAGTTTTCATCGTTAAGAAATCATATGTAAAGGTTACAATTTCTGATTCTCCTTTTTTTTTTTTTTGAAATGGAGTTTTGCTCTGTCACCCAGGCTGGAGCACAGTGGTGCAATCTTGGCTCACTGCAACCTCCGCCTCCCAGGATCAAGCGATTCTCCTGCCTCAGCCTCCCGAGTAGCTGGGATTACCCACATGCACCACCATGCCCAGCTAAATTTGTATTTTTAGTAGAGATGGGGTTTCTCCACGTTGATCAGACTGATCTCGAACTCCCGACCTCAGGTGATCCGCCCATCTTGACCTCCCAAAGTGCTGGGATTACAGGTATGAGCCACTGCACCTGGCCCTGATTCTACTTTAACATAACGTTGGGGCTTTATTTGCTTTCTGAGAAATCCCAAAAACAAGTGCCCGTTCTTTCCTTATTGGCTTAGACTTCTTTATTTGACATCATTCTATTGTACTTTCTTGACAGCAGAGAATTAAAAACCCCATTCTATATCCTCGTTTCTGCTCTGTGCCAAGGCTATTAATTGCTCATATAGCTACTTGCAAAATTTCTCCCCAAATGGTAAAAGAACGTTAAGTTTTGTCCTGAAACCTACATACCCCTCCACAGTACATGCGTCGACGTTTCAGGGCTGGCTTACGCTTCGCATCTGTGGCATGGCAAGACCCTCTGCCTGAAAGCAGTCTCTCTGGGTCTGAGTTCAGCTGGAAGATGAGACCGGTTTCTGGTTTAGCCTTGATTAGGAAAACCGCTGAGTCAGGACATGGTGACGCTGGGTGAGAGCCTCGGGAGTCCTGTCCCCACTCCTTTCTACCTACAGGCACCATCTCAGAAACGTGGAAGATTTGGTTTCCTTGGTAAAAATGCCCTTTCCCCAAACACACTCACTTCCCGCCATCAGTGTAAGGCTTGCAGACTCCGAGGCAGCTGCACTAACAGGAAGACTTGTTGAGTTCATCTTTTTCTTAGGATTTCTTAGGGAGGTGTCACTGAGAAAGATAACGGCAGAAACAGATTGCATGTGTTTCCTGGAATTGCAGAGCCATGCAGCGGGACTGCTGACCCTGCCTTAG